AAAGCCTTTTCCTCTTTTGATGCCTGAACCTGTGGAGCTTCAGGCTTTCTTCTTGAGCCATATCCTCCTTGGCACTTGCAGCCCATAACAAGCTATTCTTATTAACATTTTTCCTGGGCTGGGATTAAGTTGGAAAAGAGACAGGAATGACATTTTGCTTAAACCACTTTAAAAAGTAAGCAGCAGCTCTACCATTTCAAGTTGATATTGAATCATCTCCTAGGTGTATAGAAAAAGAGGGATATTTAGAACATAAACACACACACACACACACACACACACACATGTATTGCTATACAAAAGCTCCAACTTTGATGATTTGCATTGGGTGGGGTTTTTGATAATGCCTCTGCTCAAGCCACACACACACAATTGCTGCCTCTGCACTGACACATCAGGAGAACATTTTGCTTTCCCTTGCCCATTCACAATTACATAGATTTGACAATTGCATTAATGTGACAAGGAGGAGGTAGCAAAAGCTGAAAAAGTGTTCTCTTCACCAGTACGTGCCAAAGATCAAAGTAACAATGAACTATATACCTAAGACTCTGCCTGGAGCTCTGATCAGGAGCAACCAGACCAAAATTCAAACAAGGACATCCTAGAGCCAGTGCGGTAGCTTCTTCCACCACCTCTTCCAAATTAAGGATTCATCTTATTAAGTGGGAGAAAGAAAACACCACCAAAACTCATCCCATGACCATTCACGGCTTGGGTTTATGTTTCACAGTGGCCTGACTCAGACTGATCAGCCACGATGGCTTGAGTCAGAGCAGCTGAGAGACACATTTGTAGCAATGAGGTGCCACTATTAGGGCTGAGCAGATTCCTGTTCTTTCCTGGTGCTGCCATTTGGCAATACTCACTGAGATACTCAGAAAATAGTGCTAAAATTCCTCCCTGGGCAAATGTTAATACATTCCATCAAGTTCTGCTTCCATACAGCCAGGAAGCTTTGTGCTCCTCTGTGCTTGATTTCAAAGTTATTTAAGGAGTTAATCGGCATTATTCAGCTGCATTGCAAAGCCGTGCGCTGTGCAGGGTGAAGCTGCATAGCTTCAGTGCTGGAGAAGCAGCTCTGGTTTGTGGAGACCCTCAGCTGCCCATTTCCTCAGACACGGGCCTGGCATTGTGGAGGGAAGAGAGACATCTGTGGCAGGACCACAGCTGCCTAAAGCCCCAGCGCATCCTGCTCCAATGTCAACTTGGTTATCAGAGCAAAGACTTCTGGTGGGTGATACAGGAGCAGGAGCTGAACCACAACTTCTGCACTGTGAAAGCTTATTTCATATTGGGCCAGGGAGGTTTCAGCTCGCCACAGCTCCCAGCAACTCCCTACAGCAAATTCTCAGGAAAAGACAGTACAATGAAAAATCATGTTTGCGTCCTTCTGCAGCTCCCATACATTCCCCTTGGGGCTCCAAAATTTCCCCACAAGCAAATGAATCGGCCTGCTTTCAGAAGAGCAGATGATGTAGCTAGGGGGACAAACCCTCTCACTGAGGCTCCATAGCCACACATTTTTGCTATTTCTACTCTCATCCTTCCTTTTGCCCATATTATGCTCTGAATCTTCCTGGGAATCAGCTCCTCAAGATGAGAACTAACTCCATACCCCCTGCTGTAGTATCCCCTGCCATGCAGAAACACACAAGGAATATCCAAAATTTGGGCTAGTCCTGCATTGTTCCTAGCAATCCAACTCTCTTGGAAGAATTCCTCGTCATTTTCAGATATGTTCCATTGCACAAGTTGCCACAAAATGTTTATACATTGCATCCTCCGACCTATTTAACACATCCAGCTGCTACAGAGGGGCAGTTGAGCCAGGAAGAAAGAAACCCAGACCCCAAGAATGCATAAGAACAGACAAAAGGTAGGTTGCAGAAATCCTGTATCTTTCCATACCAAGTTTAATTCATGGGTGTTGGGGAATGAGAATTAAATCCAAAATTATCTTCTGGATGAATTTACAACATGGAAAAATGATCTTCAGTTACCTCCTCTGTTACCACATTCCCATCAAACAGTCAAGAAAGTTTTGCCACCCCAAAGCTAGTCTTCTTAGCCAAAGGAAAAAGCCCCACACGTTAGAAAACAAACAGCTGTCTCCATCTCCCATCTTCAGTACCTGCACGAGGCTCAGAAACCACCAAGAGATATCTCGAGCGCAGCGGATGCACATTCACCAGGTGTTACTGCGGTTTGGCACCATCACCCGCCACTTCTCCTGCAGCCACCCCAACCCACTGCTGCGCCTCTCCACTCACCCACCTATCTGATAAGAACACATACTGCAGCACGAGGCTCCCACCTGAACTTGCAATTAACACTCTCCTGCTCCTACTAATACAATTTGGATATAGCAGTTGCTAGTGAAATAAGAAAATTAAAAAAAAAAAAGGGTGAGGAGAATGGGGAAGACAAGACCTCTCTAACAACAGATCTTGAATCCTTCTCAAACACCTCCTGTCTAAAAGCTGCACTGAAATTAGACTTATTTTTTTTATTATGGTTTATTAGGCAAGTTGTGTCTGACTACAGATTTGTACTTTTAATTTTACAAAGCAAGGTTTTAAAGCATTCGCTTTTTTAAAAAAAGGAAAGGTTTGGTTTTTCCCCCTCTACATATGGTGATGAAAGTAACTTTTTTCTCTTTCCAGGAAAGCCTTGCTCTCCCTTCTCATACATGGTCCTTGTCCTGTGTCTGGAAGCCGCTCCCCAGGGGCGCATCCCCGGGGCAATTTGCAGTCAGCAGGTCCTTCCAAGGTGGAAAAAAAGATTCAGCGCCCCAGGGCGCTTTTTTAATCCTGGCTAACACCTCCAGGCAACAGATGCATCAACAAGAAGCGTCTTTGTCATGCAAATAGCAGGGCTCAGGTACACACCAGGCACAAATGGCTGGGGACTACCGACACCCCAAGAGGCCTCTGCCTCCAGTGCTTGCTGATCTCAGCCGCTCCTCGCCCCCAGCCCCGGAAAGGGGAGGCAGAGCAGAGCCGGAGGGCAGCGCTGGGACCCCCGGAGGTGAGCGCGGCGCGGCCGGAGCCGCGGAAAGCCGCGGGGAGCGCAGGGCGAGCGTGTTCCCTCCTGGATGCCGCGCTCTGATCTCGCGCATTAAAACCCAACTGTCAGCAACGAGCCTAGCGAAGATTACAGTTCAATTAAACAAAAAAATTATTTAATAACTCAAGCGTGTAGGCTTGTGGTTAAACTGAAAGAACTCCGGGCTTATGTCAACACTGCAGCCCTGCAACAGCACTGTTTTATTGAAATAGTGGTGCTGCTGTAACATGCAAGAGCAGCACTGAACTAAATTAGCCCCTCAGATGTTCGGCAGGCAGCTTTACAATTAAAAACAAAACGCGTTTTCCCCCGTTCCTCCCCGCCACCACACCCGCAAAGGGCAGTTCCTCAAGAGCCTCTGCAAGATGATATTCTATGGGCATTGATGCCAGATCTGTAATAAGTGCCAGCCCCACGGCAAACATATATGGAGAAAATCCTTAGTGAATAATTAAATTGGATTTTGTTGTTCTAAGCCGTGCACCAGCACTCAGGACTTTCTTAGGAAGGTAATAATGCAAAGAGGGGTAAAAAAAAGTCTGAAGTTTCCTAGTCCTCCAAAGGGCAGGTTTGAGTCTCCATGCTCTCTTGAAAAGCTGCATGCTTTTCCCTATGATACATCCAAAAGCAAGTTTTATGTAGAACAACGTTTGCAACAACAAATATCAACAGACTGTGATCATCATGCTTCACCCAAAATGGCTGTGGGCCTCTGTACTGGAATTTACACACAATACACAGCTATAGAAAACAATATTATTGCATGAGTTTTTGCATCTTTCAAATGCAGATCCATGTGTTTCACAGTGCCAAAGCACCCTGTCATTCCGACTCCAAATATGCACTAATTTAACATGTTTCGCTGCTGTCAAATTACCAGTACAGATCAGGCCCCCTTCTTTTTGTTTTGGAAGTCAAATGCCACAGTCCTGAATAAAAACCAAGAACATCAGAGAGCAAAACAATGCTGCGACAGAGACCTCCAAGAAAAGAAATCTAAGAGCCAGTAAGAGGGAAAACTGCTTTATGACAGGGAAGTAACAGCATCCAACTCCTCCTCTCACAGCACGCACAACGGCAGAGGCATTTTTCCAGCACGATGCCTACAAGCAAATTGTTTCCCGCTCCACTCAGGTTCTACTAATATAATTTCCACAGCTCCTTTTAACAATGCCTCTCCATTGCTCTATATGTACACCAAGAGGCTTACAAAAATAAACGGGAATTGAATATCCAGAATTAAAAGTACATTAAAATCCATTAAGCATGAATCTACACCAGTGGAAACAGAGGGATCAACCTGGAAGAATCAGTGCTCGCCACAATGTAAGGGAAGGCCTTAACTACTGCATCATGGTTGATATTAATTCCTAAACAGACATTTCACAATTTCTGGCTGAAGATACAAAGTATGTTTCAAAGCAAGGCTGCCAGATAGATAAAGCCTTCACGCAGACCAACTGATAGTGGAAATAAATATCAGTCAGCAAAGAGCAATGCCACATCTGAAGCAAAAAAAAAAAAATGCAATCTTCTTATCTTACTGTCATGTAACTTTAGCAGTTCTGCTTCTAGCCCTTGATTTTCCTCAACAAACAAAGAGTTAAAACCAGAAAATTCACATCTGTCCCAGTCACTACAAAGACAGCATCTACATCATTCTGCCATACATTATCCTACAGCAGTAAACCAGAGCTCCCCCCACAAAGCCCCCAGCCCTGTTCTCAGACATTTATTTCAGCTTTTCCACTGTGATCACAACCAGCACCTCTAAGAGCTCTCAAACTCCACAGGACAGAGGCTCTGAACAGCAGAAGCTCAACCTTCATTGTCACTGAAGCTACCCAAAAGACCCAGTTGTAAACAGGCTCTGCAAAGCAAACAGGAGGAAACCCAGCTTGCCAAAACCAGCCTTTGAAGAGATAACTCACTGTTCTGGGGATGGGTGGCGACAGAGATCCATTAGGCATGTATGGGTCGTTATTCATATTTGGCATCATGATATACCCAGAATAACCAGAGTATGATGGTCCCTTGCTGTATAAGCCATTGTCTGGATGCTTTCCTATGGAAGATGAAACAATGATTACATTATTCCCCACATATGCATTTCTCATGAGTTAGAGCACTCAGACAGGTACTGCGCATATATAAAAACATTCTGCATGCAAATGTTTCCTTACTCATGGAAATTACTGCTGACAGAAAATTATACAAAGCAATTTGTAAAAACATTTTTTTTAGGAAGAGCAAATTCTTAAAGGAGTGAGTATTCTTGGTGAGTTTACATTTAAAATACAGAATAGCCTCAAAATAAATAATTTTGCTAATACTCATTGAAATCAAAGTAGATACATTAGCGACATCACATTTCTCAAGTAGTAGTTTTCCCCAATTTTATATATGCTTCTAGGATCTGTCAATTCAGAAGTATAGCCAGTATGGGTTTCCAACATCATTGTTAGGAAAGGGAGGAAAAGACTGTGGTAACTAGATATAATCATTTCCTTCTCTTGCTGAGACTGTGTGTGCAGCAAATAATTAATTTCTGACTATGCTCATTGGGAAAAATTAAAGGGCAGAGGGTGGCTTGGAAGGAGATCCTAACAATTTGGGAGGGAGGCTGTTAAGCACACATGGTACTACAGTCAAGAGGGAAGCCCAATGAGGGAGGCTATTTGGTAGGAAAAAAAAGTGTTTGGGCCCAGGTCCTGCAAAGAGGATGATCAGGTCTCCCACCTATATGCCCACTGACACAGCTACTACTTGAAAGTAATGTTTTAAGAAGATGCAGAGCTGAAAACTATCCAGAGTTGAACACCTCCCCCTCACTGCCCAAATGCTACAAGCATGGACTTCATTGCTTTTAGGTTGCTTAATTACAAATTTGGAATAAGATGGCCAGAGTCCTGGAAAGCACCAGGACTGAACTCTCTCTGTCTTTATATGGAATTTATAATTTGGTTTAGCTTGTGATGATAAGCATTTGATTTTAATCATAATCTCATCCTTCACAGCACACATTCTTTGCATGCATGTCCAGCTTCCTAAATGATATTTGATGAACTCTGCTAGTTCCTCTGTCATCCTCAATCAAAATTAACCATTTGATACATTAAAAAATGCAGGAGATCTGCTCATACTTAGATTTGAAAAACAGATTTAAGTGACCGACTTTAACTATGGGGGAAAAGCAAAGGGTTTCTGAATACAACTGTAGACTGTATGAGTGAAGAGATAGATGTATTTAAGGTAATATCCTAAAAATAGTTACTTCTTCAGTGAAGATCCATTTGGCCTACTGATCAGTTTCTAAACAACTGTAATACCATTTGGTCACTCAAGATAAACATGCTGCGCGTTCATCTCCTTTTTAAATGCGCTCTGAAAGCGCTCTGGCACTCCTCTCCCGCAAAAGATATTAAATTTATGTTTTCCAAAAGAAACCAAGTTCCAGTTTGAGGACTGTGTGGTGGGTCACAGAGGGACAATATCGCAAGATGGGACTGTGCGAGTCTCACCTTCCTCGGGGTGTTCTCTGCCTTTATCATGGTAGGAATCCTGTGCTTGAGTCTGCCTGGAAACCTGACCACAAGGAATCCACCACCAGAGAAGAAGAAAAAGAAGAAAAGTCATTGTAGGGATGCTCGGTTATCAAACACATTACTACAATTTCTTGAAGGAAGAGAGGATTTTAAAGCACAAGATTAACATCTTTCTTTTTCCTCTTAAGTTGCTTGGAAGGCAATTGTACCTGAAATGTTTGCGTTAACTATTGTTTTATGACAACGTGAATAACTACAGGGCTTTGCAAAGCATTTCTAGCAAAAGCACCCTGCATAATTTCTGGTAAACATTTGGCGCTCTGGCGGTCAAAATGCTCTTGGTAAAAAGATACCAAAAATAATAATGAAAATCAGGTTGCCCTCCTTAGCAGATCTTTAGGGGAAAAAAATAAAAAAAAAAAAAAGAAAAAAAGAAAATTAAACAAAATTTTTTAAAAGGCAGGTTCCCCGCTCGCCCTGAAGTTATTTTAGAGTCGGGAATTTCTTCCCAAACAGTTTTATGCAAATCCCTTAAAGAGTTTACAGCTAACGCTCCGACCCCGCTGCTTTTACTGAGGAAATTTCATGGCTGCTGGAGGTCTAATACCACCGCACCGTCGGGGAACTCGCGGCAACTTTCTCGTCCCGGGCCGAGGCGCGGAAAGGGCTCTGCCTGGCGCACCTCTGGAGACAGGATTTGGGGTGGAATGACTTCTTTTCCTATGGGAAATTTTTCCCCGGTGCCCCGCCGAAGCTCCCTCCCCGCGGCGGCGGCCGGAGCCCGCCGGCATCCGCGCTCCTCCGCCCGCGCTGCCCGCGGAGCCCCCGCGGCCGCGCACCTCGTGCCCGTTGGCGCCGGGGGCGATCTCCGACTCGTTGACGAGGGAGGACTTGATGTCGGCCAGGTCGCCCTCCTCCTCGGGGTGGCTGATCTCGGCGAAGATCTTCTCTTTCTGGGGGTCCCCCTCGTCCTTGAAGGGGATCATCTCGTCGGTGGCGCAGAGCTCCGGGTCCCCCCCGCCGCCCCCGGCCCCCGGCAGCTGCGGCATCCTCACGGCAGCGCGGCGTCTGCTGCGGCCGCCGGCCCGCCGCGGGAAGGGGAGCGGGCGGAGCAGCGGGGGGAGGAGGAGGAGGAGGGCGGAGGAGGAGGAGAGAGGAGGAGAAGGAGGAGAGAAGAAGGAAAAATCCCGTGAACTCCTCGGGGTTGTTCTCGGCAGTCGGAGACCCCCGGCTGTCCGCCCGCCCCCTCGGGGCCGAGGTACCCCGTCTTCCGCACGACACCGACGTCCCGGGGACCCTCGCCCCGACGCACCGCACGGCCGGAATAGGTCGAATACGCCCGCCCGTGTCCCGACCGCGCCAGGGACCGCCCCCCCGGAGACCAGACCCCCCTCCATCCCCCCGGGACCCGGGCTCACCCCGGGGGCGAAGAGACGCGGAGGGGAGGGGAGCGGAGCCCGCCCGCGTTTCGCCTCCGAGTGAAGTTGCCACCACCCCGGCGGGACCGAGTTAAAATGGCTGGGGGGAGGCGGGCGGGAGGAGGGGGCGTCCCGGGGGAAGGGGCCGGCGCTGCCCGTGCCGCGCACCCACCGGGCCTTTGTCCGCCGCTTCGTTCGCGGCTCCGGGCACGGCTGGGCTCGGCTCGGCGGCACCGCGACGGGCGGGGGGCGGGGGGCCGAGGGAGGGAGAGCAGGAGGGGAGGGATGGAGCGGGCGGGGAGGTGACCCCCCCGCCCCGCTTCCCTCCGCGCCCGCGGGCAGGGGAAAAAGTTGCCGGCGCGGCGCCCCCGGCCGCCCCCGCGCTCAGCGCCCGGCGCGGGCCTCCTGCCGCAGCCGGCGGGCGCGGCGCCCCGCGGGGGGCGGCGGTGGGGCGCGGGGCGGCGGCGGCAGCGCAACTTCAGCATCGCTCCCGCCCTCCCTCCCTCCGCCGTCGGGGCGGGGCGGGGCGGGGGCGGCGGAGATGAAAGGGACCGCCGCCGTGACTGACACCGTGTCCGGGCCGGGAGGGCCGAGCGGCGGGGGCGGGGAGAGGAGGGGGCCAGGGCCAGCGCCAGCGCCAGCGGGGAGGGAGGAGGGGGCGGGAGGGAGCGGGTGCGGGGCTGCCCCCGGGCAAACTTTGCTCTGGCTGCGCAGAGTAGCCTCTCTGTGTGTCCGTGTGTGTACCTACACGCACACGTGTATGTTTGTGTGTGCGTGTCCGTGTCGCGAGGGGTGCTCCGGGGCACTTGCCGCTCCTCTCCCTTCCCAGCCAAGAGCCCGCCGAGGAGGGCACGGGCACTAGCTGCATCCCCGGGAAGGGCGGACAGACCTGCTTTTTTAGGGCCGCGTTGTTGAGCGTTCCCCATCGCCACATGGCGCTGCTCCGGTGTGGGAAGTGTGCGATGGGTTGACCAGGCTCTGCCCGCGCCCGCATCGGAAGAAGGGCAGAATTAAGACATCCCCATTGAATCCAGCAAGTGCCCGGCAGAAACGACTAGTAACTCCCCGAGAGACGGGGAGAAACCTGCCGGGGTGAGCGCGTCCCAGTTTCGGACCGGTAAATGGAGCCAGAGCAGTAACGGAGATTCACCCCTCCACCCTGTCCCGTTCCTCCTGCACCGCGCTGCCCCGTTAGCTCCCGGCTGATCCGGCATTGCCCTGCAACAGGGCACGGATGCAGTAAAAAAAAAAAAAAAAAATATCCGGACAAAAGCAGGCGCTGCTCTTGGGGAGCGTCAGGATCCGCAACTTTTATTTTGCGAACACGATGGGCGCACATTTTGCAGGAAACAACTTCCCAGTATTTTGGCATCGAAAAAGTGCGCTTTGTGCTTTGCACATGCCCCGTCAGGTTGCTAAACCTTCAAGCGCCGGGAGCCGGAGGAACGGGAACATGTGGATGCTCAATCCGTTTTCGGCAAGATGCCGGGTTCGGCACGGCGGCACTGCCAGCCGGGATGCGGACGGGCTGAGTCCGGCTGCCCACGCCGCCGCACGCGGCTCTGCGTAATCGTCCTCGAACGGGTAATTAAAATCCAGCTGAGAAATTAGACCCTCCAAACCCCGAGAAAGGGAGCAAGGTAGCGGGAAACGGGGGATGGACTTGACAAGTCGAACAAGTGCGTGAAATAAATGATCGAGAAAGAAAGAAATTAGAAATGTTACTTCTGGGAGAGGGTTTAATTGTGCAATGCTCCCCAGCTGCAGGGACACCCCCCTCTCTCCCGGAGACGGCTGCAGAGAGGCGATGGGGAAGCGGTTGTTTGGAAAACGACTGAAAACTCGGGGATGGTTCCTGAGCGGAGATGTACATCTCCGCATCCCTCCCGCCCCTCTTCCCTTTCCTGGTGCTCGGCGGGCACCGGACACTCGGGCCGGGCAAAGCTGCCCCGGGATGGTCGCGTTCTGAAAAAAAGACCTTCGCTGGGAGGCTGAGCATTGCAAACCGCTCGCCCGACGGGACGGGGCGGCGCGGCCCGGGGGCAGGCAGGGACCCCGCTGGAGGAGCCGGTAGCGCGGCCACTCCTCTCTTTCATTACCGTGTCCCTCGGGAAAAGCAGCCTCCCCCCGCCCCTCCGCCGTGCCTTTCCGTGGGCTGGAGTCTTTCCCGGATCGTTTTTTTGGTGGAAGGATTTTGAAGGCAAAAAAGGGCCCGGGTGGGGGCGGCGGGACCGGGGCGGGGGAATGTGTGTTTGGAAACCATAATGATTTACGACAAAAAGATAAACTCAGGAAACGTCAACTCCAACGTCAGATTTGACTGGAGACGACACAAAGCTGTCGCTTTGCTCGCAGTCCTTGGGGCACGGCCGGAGGCGGAGGGCAAGGCTCGGGGTATGGGGACGCCCCATGGTGGCTCCGCTCTTGCCCCCGGCGGGACCCGCCGCCCTCCCCGGGCCACCGGGAGCGCGTCCGCCGCCGTGCCCGGCACCCGGCTCCGCGGCGGCTACCGCGCCGTTTGGTACTTTCCTAGGGGTGATTTTTGCGCTTTAGATGTTTCTTCTTTCTTCCTCTTTTGCTTTTAGCGCGAGTTTGTATCTTCCCATGGTTTTTTGTTTTTTGTTTGTTTGCTTTGTTGTTTAATTTTGGACAGGTTTTGTTGGGGTTTTTTTTGGTCGTTCGAACGGGTTTTAGCGTTTCAGAGGGAGTTGAGGAGTTTTTGTTTGTTGGGTATTTTTGGATTTTCAGCGTTGAAGGGACCCGCACTCAGCACTCCCCGACGGCCAGCCCGGGCTCAGGGCGGGGGGGTGAACGGAGAGGGCAAACGGGCCCCGGGGTGGGCTGAGCTCCAGCGCTCGGGGCAGCGGGACGAGCCCCGTGGAGCTTCCGGGGGGCTGAGCGGGGAGAGAGGGGAAGCGGGGTGCCAGTGACGACCCTTGCGGGCGCAATACGCGGGGCGGGGGGACACAGGACACTCGCGTGCGAAGCGGGTCCGCCGCCGGCGCCCCCTATATAGGGAAGGGCGGGAGTGGGGCGGGGCGGCGGCGCCTTTGATGTCCCGCCGGCGGCCCCTTTCATCCCCCGCCGGTCCCCCCCGAGCTCTTTGTGTGACTAAATTTGGCAGGAGCATGGAGGCGCGCCAGGGCGCCCACGTGTGCGCCGAGCTCCCAGCTGAGAGAGCCGGGGTTTTCTTCCGGGTAAGGAGACAGCGGGGGAGATCAAAGAGTTTGGGGAGCTGGAGCCGAAATGTGCCGTGGAAATAAAGTAAAATTAAATAGATAAATAAATAATAGAAGAGGGGGAAAAAAAATTCCTCCGTCCTGGACGCGTGCCAGTCAGATGCAAGGGGGAGCACATAGTGGTTGTGGGGAGCGGCGGGAGGGAGGGGGAAAGAAAATATTCTCGCAAAAGGGGCTTGCAGTTTTCTGAAAAAAAAAAAAAAAAAAAAAAAAAGAATAAAAACCAACCAACGAACCAAACAGACCAAGCCTTTTGTTTAAAGCCGCCGGGCTGCGGAGCCAAGCGGGCTCCGCCGGGATGAGCCGCCCGAAAGCGCGTCCAGGAGCGCGGCCGGGAGAAACGGGCAAGCAGCGGCTAACACCCCCTTCTCCCGCCCGCCAGGCCGGTTCGGAGGTTCGAAGGAGTCTTCCTAGGCAAACCCCCCGTGGTTTTTTCTCCCCCTAGGAAGCGATGTGGCCCCCGAGGGGTGGGTGCGCTGGGGGCCAGGCGCCCTTTGCGGCAGCCCGGGCTGTGTCCCGCGGCTCCCCGGCGGGCACCGCGCTGCTCGGGGACAGCCGCGCTTCTTGCCGAGCTGGGCTGGCACAGCCGGCTGCGCCACGGGAATCCCCGGGGCCCCGCTGCCGCCCTGCGCACCCTGCCCCCCCGGGCCTGCGGGGATGGGCACCCGGCTCTCGCTGCTCCCTCAGGACTGCAAAGCACATCAAAGAATGTTAGCTTTTAGAATTTCTCAAATCGAGTCTTCTCGGTGCCTTTTCAAGGCAATGTGACTGAATTATGGGTGTTCCCCGGGTCTGCGTTTGCCACCCCATTTAGATAACATCTGTGATTTATGTGCAAGTTGAATATATAGGCTGAATTCCGAAATTCCTTCTGAAGCAAATAAATCCTCCTCCTTCAGGACATGGGGTGAGCAGGGCCAGAGCAGGGATGTGGTGATTAGCCCGGGCTCTGCAGAGTTACCGCTGGTGCCCTGCACATCCCACTGCTGCACAGATCACTGGGGAGCCAGCCCCGGGCTGCCTCAGGCTGTATGGATGTGTTTGCAAATATGGACCTGTTCTGTGCCTCTAAAACAAGGATAATACTTCTAAGGCATTTTTTGACTCTGTGAGAATAAATGCATTGTTGTGTTTAAAGAGACTCTCCTGACGAACGCTATAAGGAAAGCTGTAAATAACCGATCAGGATTTTTGGGGGGGAAAACCCAGCATCCTCCCTCACTCGTGTTGACCAGGCAGACAGTCCTTTGGTGGTGCAGTCCCTTTGACAAGCACAGTGTCCAGATATCTGGCATACCTTTGGATTTGGGTCCAGGTTGGGATTGCAGACACTGTGGCTCACACTCCATGGCCTATGTCCAGCTGCTTATTGGGGTGGGTCACCTGCTGTGAACTCCAGATGATGTTGATGCCAGTTCCTGGTTACCTTGAGAGAACTTAGGTGTGGAGGTGTGGAGGGGATTTCTCATTGCACTTACGATCATTCCTGTCATGGTGGCTGAAAGGGATTCTTTCCAGCAACCAAGTCAAGAGAATTCTGCCAAGTGAAGGGAGCTACTCTGTATTTGGTGCAGATTATATTTTAAATGGAGAAAAAAACCAAAAAGGGAATACTATATTCTGGTTTTGAAGACTCAGTTATTATGAGCCTTTATGAAATACGGATTCATTTTTAAAATTTATAACAAAGGGCATCCTGGCTATGTTTCTAGCAGCTATATCAAAGAGTAACTGCACTTCTCATTTAAAGCTACTTTGAAAGAGATCACATGTAATAGGTATTAGGATGTTAAGAGTGTATATGTGCTTTTTGCTTTTTAATTTACACATCCAGCTTT